AACAATTACCACATCAATAACCACGACCAAAGTCCCTCTTCATTTTCATATCAAACACACCCCACCTTCAACCACTTAACAGTATACATTACCTTTTAGCACATGCTGCACACGGCGACTGGTTACAACACTTGACTCCTTTCCAACATCGACTTCTCCCCCACCTCTGGATGGCGACCATACTTCCTCTTGGTTAGTCGATACAGTCAACACAACACTATATTCTACTCTAACATTTTTCGATTTCTCATTATCACACTTTTTGAGAATGGGAGGGGCCGAGGGGCATCCCCCCTCCCCTTATTCCCATGCAAGGTGAAGGGCACAAGCGCCTACACCGCCCAACTAGGCAGCATGCCAACTTTGTGCTTGCCTAAAGGATCATAGCATTTTATGTCAAGGGCATACAACCCTCCAGTCTTTAACATTTTGTCGGCTAGCTCCGACGACTTTTACCCAGATACGAATTCGCAACTTTCGATTTACAACTGGTACCTACTTTACTGCTAGGTCAACAGGGACACAGGGTCGAGGCAGGTTCAACCCACTTTCTGGCTGAATAACCTGAGACGCCCCTGTCAGGTGAGTAAGGAGAGCGTGGTACCAGTTTACCAAAGGTTGCACCCCCACTTTGGCTGTGACCCTCAGAGGTAAGTAGTGTCATTAGTTAGGAAATATTAGTTCTGACTAAGTAGTGCCCTTTCACAGGTTTATACACCTCACTTATGTCTCCCCGTGCCCATCTCTAGGCACTTTTGGGTGCACTAGAGAACCGAGGACCACCACCAAACCCCAACCTGAAAAAAAAAAGGTCATTCGTTATCCATTTATCAAATCTTTCTCACTACTATATAATAAACTCAACTTATCAAAACTCATTTACATTTTCTTTAATCTACAGCCGAGGCACAAAATTCAACATTTTAAACTTAACATTACCAAACTCAAGCCACAATCATTTATTTTAATGTCAACTTTTAACATTTCTATTGCTCTACGGCACAAAACCAAAAATCAATTGAAAATTTAACAACTATTTTACAAACTTCAACGTCACTTACCCTCACTATTCCCCTAGTCTACCTCAAAAAAATACCGGCTCCTTCCACCTCCAACAACAACCTGAAAAAAGCATTTATTACCTAACCAATAAAACTTACACTAATTCTCAATACAAATATATTAGCCATGAACCACTTCTCAATTTTCATATTACACCTACAACTTCTCTTTAGTCAAAAACAACTACACCTTCCATTTTAAATACCATATTGACGAATTCCTCACCGCAAGTGTAGACGAGCTAGCCATCACCTACAAACTTAGGCCACGTTCTCTTCTCTATTCCACAGTATAAGCCTTCCGTACACCTGCAATAAAAGGCATCAACCTTCAAAATTTACAACAAACTAGTCAAAATTAATGAAACAAAAGCACATACACAATAACAATTAAGAACACTAGTCTGCGTATAAAACTAACACATGAACCATAACAGACAACAAAATACGACCATCAACACACACAACCGAGAGTGTAGTACCATTATATAGCCTCCAGTATATAACAGCACAAACACAACACCCATTCAACAATTTCATTCACCTAAACTCCAAATTCGGGGTCTACCTCTGTGCCGGTCACGTCTCTGCAAAAATCAACCTTTCCCACGCTAGTTGGCTCCAACTTAACGCTCATGCGGCAGCCCACTGCGACTTCCTTGCGGTTGCTATTTTCTGAAAATAAACTACTACAAATTCTTAAAAAAACACCCACTACAAAACTCTCATTAATACAATTTTCTTCACTATTTCACCAAATATACCAACATATCTTAACTTCCCATGACTTTAAATAACAAGGATTATTTTATTACCAAAAAATTCTACCTTTCCTTTAATCATTTTCCTAAAAGTCATACAACCCAAAACACATCCACCAATCACAATCACCTTTACATACAGCCTAAGTATTCACAAGTAAAATTGCGAGCACGAGACCCAGGGTCAGTTAGATGCATCTTTAGCTGACTACATTCAAAACGTTCGACTTTACTTTTATCCTCTTCGCCACTGATCGGTCACGTCTCTTTTCCTTTATATTCTTCACCAAAAGGTCAGCTCGCTAGCTGCCCGGGCAATCGGTCACGCACTGTTGTCAAATACTGGGCATGCACCGGCTCCTCCATGTACCTGAACCCGCTCCAGTGTTGGTCAAGTCTTCTCTTCAAAGAGCTCACACTCGATGCCGTCACAACACTCTGGTACATTGTTCCAACAATTTACAACCCTCACTCCGAAAAAGTTTGCCCTCACGATTTTCCGGCTTCTTCAATCTTGAGCTGTGACCCCTTGTGGGGCGAGCGTCCGCCAGCTCCAAGCAAGGACACTTAACTGAGTAGTGCCCCCTCAGATGCTTATAAAGCTCAACTAGGTCCCCCCTTGCCCGTCTGTAGTATAAGCTAGGCAACTTCAGGCGCTCCAATCTCTCAGGCGGCTAGCGAGCCGACCTTTTCGTGAAGAATATAAAGGAAAAGAGACGCGACCAAGCGGCTAACAAGCCGATCAGTGGCGAAGAGGATAAAAGTAAAGTCGAACGTTTGGAATGTAGTCACCTAAAGATGCATCGACCCGACCCTGGGTCTCGTGCTTTATGCCGCTTATTTTTCATACACTCAAAGCAGGCTACCAATTGGCTCACCCATATCAATATTCTTATTCATGTCAAATCCCTATCTTTACCTCGCTAAACAAACTAAACATCAAGAGTCACTTACCTGCCCTCACCCCTCGTTTACCAAAACGTCGCTGTCGGCACATTTATTTGCTTTTCCACTTCACTATATGCACAACACCTCCAATCTCCTACTATACGCCTCAAAACACACACGTATGGTTTACTACTTGGCACACAAATGCTGCATCTTTTTTCTTTCTCACTCATTTTCAAGATCCACCACGATCACTATGAACAGTCCAAGCTCAAAGCACACATAAATGCTGCAGCTTTCTTTTCTTCTCACTCATTTTCAAGATTCCACCACCATCACTTAAAACTACATTGAACTTCGCATCCAAACAACTTCAGATACAGACAATATTTTAATAATGAACTTGCTACACAATCTACATGCTCATGAATTCACTTTCCATCACTCACCAACGAAATAACACGATTTCTTGCAAAAACACAACATATTCCGCCAATTTCACAAACTACACTATTAACACTTCAACTTTTTAAACCACTTAACACTTAAAGGATTTCATTTCAATTAAACTACCGTCTTCAATTTAAATATCCTCTACTCTAACAACTTGAATTAATAACAACTTCAAAATCTCCCTAGTTAACCACAGACACAAATCTTAATTACGTTTCACACGCCACAAGTCAAATACTTCTATTAAAAACCACAGAAAATGTTTAAGAAAACATTTCCAATGCGGAACACTAACAGCCAAACAAACAAATGTCTAAACACTACTTTATATACTACACTTTACTTTTCTTTTCTTTTCTTCTTCACAAACTAAAGGAGTTCTAACACCAGACACAAGGATCGGATTGTAACTGATGCATCCTTGCCGGTTCGACCTTTAAATACCCCAACCTTCCCGCCGAACCGTCAAATTATTTGCTCTCTGCTCACCGAACCACCTCATTCGAATAACTTCAAATTTTCAACATTTTATTCTTCACCTTGGCGTCAAAGTACAAGGATACATTAAAAAAAACTCTGGTGTCATCTTCAACATTATTCAAACAAACTCCAACAAAGTCCATTTCATGAAATATAGCCAAAATATATGAGCTCAAAACTGCCACATTCTTGCTTTCCGGGACCCCGAACTTCTTCTCCGGTAAACACCGTCACAACCAAACGAGGGGATTATCCCAGATAAACTGCTCTTGGGTATTTGCACCATAGACATAGGTGGCAGTATCGTAGTCAATAAAGTTTTCTTCCAAGATGCAAATAACAAGATACCCTTCAGTCAGTCACTCACATCTCCATTCCTTGGTGAGAACTATCAACGGTCAATTTAATAAAGTCACGACCCGAATAATGTTTTCCCATTACCGTCAAATACTTTACGTACAGTATATATTTATAACTTAATTATAACAATGTAAAACAAAACTATCGTGCTAACATTCTATACTATGCCATGTTACGTGTACTAATCCACATGCTACTAAATGTTATATAATAATTCCTTGACATAAATGTACGCTATATTATCAGGTACCACATTTACTCTCCAAAGTACTGTAGTACGTGTGAGCTGAGACCTGACCCAATAAATCATTATCAAATTGTGATAGTAAATATCTCTCTAACCATTGCTATGTCAACTAGAAACTGGTCTATGTAAGCCATACCCCATGTAACTGACGAGTATATTATATTCATCCGCAGAGGACAAACAGCACTTACCACCAGTGCCGGATTTATTACACCTGTGGAGGCTCCCCTCATTATAACTACCCCAAGAAGGTGGGGTGGCGAGTGAAGCTAACCTAAACCTCTGGGAGTTCCGCAATTCTAAATATCATATTATTAGCAACACAAACAACAGCATTCATTAAAAATAGACGGTTCATAGGAAAACCAGCTAGTCGTGAATTTCAACGAGTAGCAACTGCCCACTTTGCCCACTCTTCAATCCGGCCCTGCTCACGACTCTACTCTACTTTGTTGTAACGTGTAGGTTTTCTTCTCCATTGTTGTAACATATGTCTGTCTTTTGTTAATTTTAGTGTTTCTGCTGTATGGTCAATTTCAAGTAAAGGTTAATATTAACTCGGTGCTTTGTTGTTCATTGTTTTTCTCTCTTTGTGATCTTATTTTATTCCTCATATTAACTTCTTTAGGCTATTCTATTTAAGTTTATGACTTTTTTTAATATTACAATAGTACTATTTTCATGTATATGTCTCTTAACAATGTCTCACACTTAAAGTGAGGCCAATATTGCTGTTGTAATATATTCACAATTTCTATCCAACATAAATAAAGCAGTGAATACGATTTCATAATATTTTCCTTTCACGTTTTACACTACTTTCGTGTCACAATAAAGTTTAAATCGTTTACTCGTCATCAAACAACCAAACCTGCCGGCGTCACTTTGACGTCATAACAAGGCAATGTTCCCATTGGCTACAATTTCACCTAAAACAGCTTGTGATTGGTCAGGGAGTGTGGGCCGCCTGTATATAAAGCCTGGTAGACGGACGTCAACACAGAACACTGGCACGCGACGACGCTACAACATCTTCTGTACTGTAAGTGTATCTTCAAATTGTAAATTATTTGTTGGCGATTGGGAAGCTATTGTTTAAAATTTCACTTGACAAAAAAAAAAAAAGGTAAATTTTATTAGTCTTGATATTACCTAAACTAAACTTTTTAAATAAGTTTCGCGTTAAACCAGGCTTACATAACATTAATCTTCTTGCTATTTCTAGAACACGCTCCTCAAACGACCATAAACCCTATACGAGTTGACCGAGGTAGCTGCAGTGTCACCACAAGAACAATTCGGAGCGTCTACAAAATTTACCTGTTGCTGGAGAACTCGATCGCAACAATTCCTTTCCTACTCCAGTTCTACCGCGGTTAGTGGATCCTTCCCACAGCATTACAGTGAGTTTTCTAGTGTTAAACTACAAGAAATTGGTCTCCAAAAAAACTGCTTTGTTATTTCTTCTACCCCATTTGTGGGTCATGAGCTGTATTGCATTACATTCTGTGCAAGTAAAGTCAAACTTGTACATATTGAATATCCAGTATATGTAACCAATAAAGTTTTTCTATTTATGGAATAATCCAAATCCTTGCTTTTACTAAATCAAAACCCAGAGTATAATAAAATCTCGACTACGTCTGCTGTTTGAAAGTTTGCCCATAAATAGTTCTCAAATACTCTACTTAATGGTGTTAAACGCTTCGGGAAATACAGCTCTACTCCTCTTAAATTAGTATTACTTTTTCACAACATAACCCAATAGACAAATGATGACATTAATGTGTGGCTTTTTACTTTCCAATCGTTCAAAGTACACATTCTCGTATCCACAGTGGCCCTGTACTAAAGTACGATCATCACTGGTTTAAACTAATCTTAGTATTGTCTAATAACACCAGAAGTGGTAAAATACTAAATTCCAAGCAAGACATATGAAAGTCTAACCTATAAATAAAAATATGAACTTCCATCTATGACCACTGCAATACTAAATATAGACCCAAGTCTTTCAATATTCAGTCGAAATCAAGGTAAAATTAGAGGTCTGGTCATGTAGTCTGTAGTTTGGACAATTCTAAAACGCTTCTTCAATAGGATTTCCGCCGCAATGTATATTAGAGTATTTTCATCTCAAAAGACTGCCTTTTACTTGTTCAACATGGGAAAGGCTTTGAAATGGAGACAAATGGCATTGAAAAAGCAAAGTGGGTTAAAGATGTAATAACGACGGTTGTGCATGTCAGAGATAAGAGAACCGTCAACAAGGATATTTAGAGCAAGGTATAGTTAAGTGGGAAGTACAGAAGGAGAATAAAAGCGGAGGGTGGTTTGTGAGTTAACGTGTAGCTATACCTTCTTTAACGAGTCACCCGTCTGAGACGTCCGATTTCTCAGGACGTCTGAGTCCTCCGTTTTCTTTCCATCTTAGAGTGCACCCGAGACTTCCTTGTTCCTAAAGCCCCGTCCACACGATCGAGCAGTGCCCGGCGGGCTTTGACCCTTTACCGGGCAAAGCTTGTGTGTTGTACACACGGGGGTGATTGGCGTCAGTCATAGTCGGGCGCTAGTAAGTGGTCTGCAGTGGCGGATACGCTACGATCGCACGAATAATCGCCCGACAGTGAAAAGCAAAGATCATATCGTTGTGTACTATAATAATTGCTGCTATGTGCAAATGCAGAAAAAGGGGATGGTGGTTAGGTCGGAAAAAAGTATTGAAGTCATGCCACGATTTTACGTGAACGGCAAGATGGACACGAGCGAGACATGACAAAGGACTCTAACACCTTTTACAAATTTCGAGCGAAAGTGGAACCATATATAAAAAAAACCAGGATACCAATATGAGGGAAAGTATATCTCTAGAGGCAACGCTTGTATATCTTTCAACTGGTATGCACCTACACGTCACGAGGATATCGAAACAAAGTTTGTCTCGCATAATACCTGCTATGAAATACTCGAGGAAGATTACTTGCAGGTGAGATTTGTAATCCATAAAAATGGATTGAGTTATGATATGCATAAACAGGAAGCTATGGGACGAGAACGAAGAACACACACGAATGTCCTCATTACATAAACAATCTCCTGTCACGCCAATATTGTACATTGCATTTGGTTATACACTGAGCGGGGAACACGTACGTATAACATTTGTAATACTTATATACCACCAGGCAGGCTGACCATGATTTCGCTCAACGACGGGCCTTTAATATAACGACACAGAATTGGAAATTGCAACAGTGGTGGTATATGTTAAGGCAACTTAGATATCTGATTATAGTTGGAACATCCATTAAGTGATGGTGAAAGCTTCAACTGTCTTTGTTGTTAGTAAAACTACACGAGTGGCTTGTCCTTGGGGATAGCCAGATGTTTCCAAGTACTACTGAAATTAGATCATTTGGATGCCCGAACGTCAAATCGAATTTACCAACCGTATTGAAACACTTTTCTCACACACTGTACCGCCAACTCTGACCTGCACACACTACCCATGGGCAGCCAGCCTCTTTGTGGGGTGGCGAGTGAAACGAGCCTAAACATCTGGGAGTTCCGGGGGAGCTGTAAGCCCCCCCGGGAAAATATTGAAATTTGAACACTTCTTTGCAGAATTTGGAAGCCATATGCAGTTATATTGAGGAAATTAAAACATTGAGACATTTTTCATTAACTGTATATTTATTGATAGTGTACAAATTCCCAACACACACAAAAGTGAGACATGACTGGAGTCATTCGTGTGGTTTCAAGTCGACCAGCCCTGATATGTAGAGAGGCCCTGCTCACGAAAGAGGAACTTAAAAGTAGCCAAAGCTGACATTTTTTTAAACCAAAAGGAGATTCAGAGCCCAGTGACAGTAAACTCCCAGAGGATGACACAGTAGAGGTTCACTTTAGTCATTCGGATGACGAAACGAGGTCAGCTGAGATTAAGTAAATCGCCACCTACAGCAATGCAAGTACCGTAGTGGATACTCTCCTACAAACTGACGAGCCTAGCCGCATTCCAATGAGACGGGATTCGGCGACTTTCTCACGGGGGTGGGGGGTCGCCACCTGCGACGCTGGCATCCGGGTTTACTTCCGGTAGCCGAGTGTATGACCTCTCGGTCTCGCCGTTGAAATTCATTCTACCCTACGTTCCTGAACACGCCGCGTCTCGTCTCCTCTTCCAAGCACCAGACTGTTTTGTATATAATATATTTTATAGAAGAAAACCACCATTAAGAGTTTCCTTTCTCCAACCTGTGACTGAAGCTTCGTCCGATTCATCTCAGTTGAATTATAAGAAACATTCTATGGAACCGGTGTCGAGTGATCCGGCTGACAGTTGATGATAAACCCATTGACTATTTACTAAATCATTCTCTTGATCTAAATTGTGAACAAGGTCACTTCTCAACAAGTGAAAAGGAAAGAGTTCGGTATGTGCCCAAATCCTTGTTTACATGATGACAAAGGGAATGGCTTGTGTATTCTCCAAAAACTGGAGATGTATTTTGCGTTTAGCGACTGGAAAAACTGCCGGCGTACAGTTGCCGAACGTGAAAGTGGCAGAGAGCATCAAATTTCAGTTGGGGTGTGAGGGCAATTACAGCAAGGCGAATTCATTCCACTTTGGCTTTGCAACTACAATTGGAGAGAAAATAATGCAAAGAACGTCTATTGCGCATAGTTGAAACACTACAAATTTTAACATCGAGAGGTCTTCCTCTCAGAGGTAGTGATGAAAGAATAGGCTCTAGCAACAATGGGAATTACCTTGCAACTCCTGGCCAAATTGGACACTTTTCTTGCACAGCATCTGGTGCTGTGCAAACACTTCATATCTCTCAAAAACGATTTGTCAGCAAATGGTCAATCAATTATCATAAGTGAAGTGAAACGAGACAAATATTAGTCAGTTAGTGTAGATTCCACACCGGATGTTAGTCATACTGACCAACTTACATTCATAGTTGAGCGATTTTTATAACTTCATAGACATATACATGACCATGGTGCACAGAGCATAGCCTCAACTATTGTACAGTTAATTACAGAAGTTCGTCTTGAGGGCAGAGTTATGACAATGCTGCCACTATGTCAGCCATTTACACTGCCAGAATAAAGGCTGGCATATTACGTCCCTTGTGCAGGTCACTCCTTGAACCTTGTAGGAACATCAGTTGCCTTGGGTCTCTTTCAAATTCCGGATTTTTGCAAACCTTATACAACTACTTCTCAACCTCCACATATAGTTGGGATCATCAGCTGCACTACCGGCTGAAGGGATTGTAGCGAAATCCCTTTCACAAACTGGCTGCAGTGTTTTTACATTACCTTGAGATAAAGTCAGCACTGGAGAACAAAATATGTTCCGACAGTAGCTTCAAGGTCAAGGCCTCATAAGACGAATGCAAGCATTTGAAACACCACTTCTTGCTGTAAAATAGTATCAAATCTTAACAAGGTTTAATGCAACCAGCTTATCACTTCAAAAAGTTCACACCCACCTTCTGTCAGTTGTGAAACTGTATGAGAGCTTGATCATCTTCGTCTCAGAAATGAGACGGGGTCAGTTGGATGAAATAGAAGATCAGGCCGAGCCTGTCTACAACGACAACAAAAAAGAGAAAACATTTCTTGGATGAATCAGTTGGCACTGAAACTCAACTTGATCCAAGGTGGACAATTTCTACACCATATTACGAATGAATAGAAATAAAGAAGCGGTTTACCTTAACGGAGTATGACACCATTGGCTGTCAGTACCTATTCCAGTGACCTGGAAGCATCTGTTCTAGAGGAGTTTTTGCAATTTAAAGACATTTTCTCTTCTGAATCTGACAAGTCAGTGACAAGCCTTTCCAGATGGTATGTTGACAACTGCCTTTCCAAACATTAGTAGTAGTAGTAGTATCTTCGGGGACACCACTGAAAGGTGGAGACGGCCCCTCGGAAACACGTGGGCTCGGCGTCGGTCGCCGAGACAGTCTCAAAGCCGTGGTTTAACACCAGAAGCAGTTTTTCTATTTCATTCATTTTATCCACAAATGTTTGGATGATCGTAATAAAAATGATACAACTTTTTCTTTAATTTTAAGATTTTTTTTCTCTATCTACGATCATAAATCACCCATAGCGGGCAGGGCACGAAACATGAAGGAAATTACGGGGTAAAACAACGAAACTCTGATCGTGTGGCAGTGAAGAAATACATTATTTACCATAAATGTTCGGCCAATATTTCTTTCGTGACGTTGCACGTTCGCGTCTCGTCGTAAACCGTCAATTTGTGATTTCGGTCTCCGTATACATTAAAAGCAAACGACGGAGGCTCTCGGCGGGGGGAATATTACGGGACATAATAAAAGAAAAAAGCTGGCCGGAGACAATCTTTTATTCTCACTTTGGTAACACAAATTGAAAAGTTTTATTCACAACATATTTCATTTAGAGTTGACAATAAATATCTTGTGTTGAAGACTTAATATGATATGTACAGATCCTATCTATCATCCATAGTCTGGCAACAAATTGCTCAACATCGCGCCGTTACATTTTCTGACGACGGAGATGAAATATGCAAGACGT